TTACTTTCTGTGGAATGGGGGTAATTCTTGGATCTATTCTTTATGCTTTAAAATAAAATGTGCATTTAATCTTTATAATTAATATGTATTTATAAATTAATTTATATAATAGCAATTATATTTTACTTCTTACACAGATAATTTATGATATGTTAGTTTAATTATATTTTTGTCATTTCTAATATTAAAATAACAAAAACTAAAGCTTAATTATTGTTTGTGTGACAAAAATATAATTATTTTTAATACTTATAAACTATCTTGTAAGTAAACGTTCATTATGGAAACTAAATTTAAATTTTAATCTTAAAAAAGGTAAAAAGAGTTAGTTTCAATTGAAATTTTAATGTTATCATATTATTTATAAATATGATAATATTGTATTATAAAAATACGATTGATTATAATAATTTGTAATTCAATGGGGCATAGATTTAAAACTTGGAAGTATAAATAGAATAATTTGTTTAATAAATTAAAATATCTTTAAGTGTTCTTTTATGTTATAATATATATATATATATATATATGATAAAAATAAAACAAAGAATTAATTATATACAATGTTATATATGATAGTCAAATTTTAGTGATTCACATAATACATTGCACCATATATTCAAAACAGAGAATTTAAGTCACTAACTCACATTTTTCATGCGAGAATATTTTCAAAATGTTTAGTGATGGGGAGACTCACTCACCTTAGGAGTATTTTATTACTGTGCTTGAATATTGGGCCTATAACTCATCTATATTTAAGGCTTATAAATAAGACACTTCTTATACCATCAAGTATAGCCTATTTTTTCTTTTCATTTTTCATGTACCCATTGTTATTATGTTAGAGTAAATAAGATTTAAGTATTTGAAGTGACTTTGTAAGTAACTCGATTATAACTAATAATTGAATCAACGTCTTCAACTTTATAGTTTACTTGTAATTCATTTAGTGGGCCTTAATTTCAATTGATAAATGCTAATAAAAATTTGATTAACTCTTTTCTTCTACACAAAGTAAATAACCTGAATCCCTAAACCTTAGTGTTGCTCTCTTCCTCTCTCTCTCTCTATTGTTAAAGTGTAGGGATCTCTTTCTTTGAGGGTTGGTCACCGTTTTTTTTATTGGAGATTTTTCTTTCCTTCTTTTTATGAAATTTTTTACTTATATTTGGTAGATATTTTTTCTTCTTTGTGAGAGTGTTTTTTAATTACTTTTTTTTAAAAGAAGAAGAAAGCTCCCACACCATTCAAGGATATTATTGGTTGTTAATTTGGTCTTAGTAGTCTAACTTATTTTTATTCCTGTATTAATTTGAAAAGAAAAAAAAAAAAAGCCCTTTTTTTGTCCATGGCTAGAGAAGTTGTTAGTTTCTTTCTTATTTTGATAGGTTTTGAAACTTCAAATTTAAATAAGAGCATGCATGTTTGAATTTTTTCTCCACATATTTATTGTATACCGATATAATGCTCTCTTTATTTGACATCCGCAATTGCAAGTATTGTTAGACATTTTATCTATAAATTTGAAAAAGAAACTAAATTGGCTATAACCAAATAGAAACTAATGTGTTTTGACATTAGTTTGAACGAAAAATTGATGGTTCATATAATAAGTCTATTTTATTAAGAAAAGAGTGACAGAGACAGTGATATCCTTTCTCTTATTTGTCAATTCCTCTAATATTGTAAGCAAAGATCATGCTAACAATTATTTGGCATTTTATTCGTACCCATTCACAAAGAGACTATAAAATTTTGAATAGTATCTCACCTATTAGAGTGACTTTGCTTTCGAAATTATACATAGTTATCAAGGAAAGGAGAAGAAAAAAAGATACTGCGCCACACCATCTTGTGTAGTTCCTGCCTTGTGCATTTTTTTTATTCTCAACTTCACGTCCCACCCAATTTCTTCTAGCGAATAGATCGTGGCAAAGAAGAGCGAGATAAAGTTGTAGGTACAATATGGCTCAATTGGCGATTTGATGTACAACCTAAGAGAGTTAATTTTGCCAATAATAATACAAAACTTGGTTGAATTTCTTAAAGTAAGGTTAGAGTTAGGCCATCATAAATGTTCAAGAAACACTATTTAGCTCATGAGAGACAAAAAAGAAGAAGAGTAAGAGGGAAGTCACGAGGAGGGAAAGATGAAGACGCACGTGTAAGGGGAGAATGGGATTAGAAACATGAATGGGGTTGGGGTTGAATGTGGTAGCAATGGGACTATGGGAGTGATTGGTGAATCCATGAAAGCTGAAGGGGATTCCATTCTTTGCTATATTAATAAGCATCCAAAATGCAAAGAAGGATGTGTCAAATTAAGCTAGTTTAGCTGTCAATTCTTCCAAGCACTTGGCTCACGGGGCTCCTTTCCTCTCTCTCTCTCTCAATCAATGTTTTCATAAATTTGTGGTGTTCACTGAAATACCCTTTCACACACACATTTCCTCCTCCACACATGATGTGCTGAGTAATTAAATTGTTTATGTAGTTTAACCATAGCAAACTTGCTAGTGCTAACTATTACTATTTTTTTTTTTAACACTAATTTACACAAGGATCAACTATACAAGATCAAAATACGACTTTTTAAATTATCGTATGAATGATTAAATTATTATTTACTTGTCTCACATTTCATTCTCAAAATTACTTTGTATCTTTCGCATTTAGACCAAGAATTTCAATTGGATGTGAGTTCAGGATTGTTCTTTTGTCTATCATTAGTTTATGCAAATTTATACAATTTTATCGTGCTTTGAGCCTTTCATTTCATGTTGTTTCGAAGGGTGGTAAGTGAAATTAATAAACATAATAAAATAAATGGGTTTGACTTAAGGGATCGACTTGTTTAACCTAGTAGAAATTATGGGTATGTTAAAGCATAGAGTTCTACACATGTATAATTTACATTGTTTTTGTATGTTAATGAGTTAAAATGGACAGATTTGTTAGGATTTTTTAAAATAATTAAAATATATTTATTAATTCGATACTATTAATATAACTTTAGTATTTGAATAATTTTTATGTAATTATATTTTAAATCTTTTGTCGACAAGTTGGTCTACCAACTTAAACAAAATTATATATAACATATATATAATTTTCATAAATTGAAGTTGAAACCAAAAAGTTATATCTTTTAAAAATTTAAGACTAAAAAAGTTAAAATTTTATGATTTTTTAAATCAATTCTTCTATAACTGATATAAAAATAATTTAAAAAGAAAAATTTTAGAAGTAGTAGTAAAACAAGTTTAAAATTTTTGAGAAAAATTTAGGGATAATAAACTATTACATACATTCTTAAGTTTTTACTTGTAATTTTTGGGTATTTCATTAACAAATAATAATCTCGTTCTCATTTAAATATGTCATTGACAAATTTTTCAAACTTTATTCTATATTTTCATTTTAATTAATTCATTTGTTTTAATATAACATTAACGAATATTGTATGTTCTTGATTTACATACTTAACAAAAAGTGCAAAATTTTCTTGTATTTTCGAGTTTCTGTTTGTAATCTTGAGTTTAACTAATATTAATCTTGTTCTAGTTTAAAAATGTCATTAAAATTTGTGTTTTTGTTTTATTGCAGTATTAGGTGTGACAAACTCTAATTCTCGTAACAGTGAATCAACAAAGTTATTAAGAGAGTAAAACTTCCTGACAATATATGTAAAAAATTTATGCTTTTTAAATTAATTATTCTAAATCAATGTAAAAAGTTCATTTTTACATTAATTGTAAATTAATTTAAAATGTTTTTACTTGCAAAAATAATTATATATATATATTAGTTTATCAACCAATATAAAATATTATTTTAAACCGATGTAATAAGTAATTTCTATCCTGTTAATCTTTAATAGGTTACTTCACTAGTTCAATGTTAAATGGGTCTCATTTTAAAATATAGAGTAAAGCAGCTGATCTATTTTTAGCAAGCTTTCAGTGGGGCTAACTGGCATACTTTGTCCTCTCAAAAAATAAGATAAAATTCATACTTAATTTAGAATATTAAACACATATCTAACATGATTTGAAGGGACAATTATAAAATTTATTATTGGTCATCATCTAAGATCTAACAAATAATAATGTTTGTAAAATAATAAATTTAAAATTTTTTTACTCAATTGAATTGGATGTTAAAGGAAAAAAAAGGGGAAAGAGACATGAGCTAAGTGAATTTCACTTATTAAGCACTTATCTAATATTTATTCTCAATTTTATTCGGCAATGAAGCAATATAATAGTCTTGAGGGAAATGAAAAGACAGGATTTTGTCCGAAGGGAAGAAATGATAATAACATAATTAACATGTATGTTTTATTTAAGATGGGATATAATTAATACTAGAAATCACACACAACAATTGAATATAAATTTTTTTTATAAATTGTTGAACTGGTTGGAAAATTTTAAAATAATTTGTTATATTTTAAAATTTTATAAGTAAGTCTTTAAATTTTTAATTAGGTCTTTGATTACATCTTTATTAAGATGCTAATAAATACATGGAACCAATTAATTTTTTTAATTAATATAGAGAATTTTTAATAATTATAAATTTGTGACATGGTTCTTGAACTATTTTAAAGCTTTTAATTAAATCTCTCTATTTATATAATAACACTAACGGAAGAACTTAATTAAAAAATTAAAATTAAAAAATCTAATTATAAAAAATTAATTATAAAATATTATTTAATTTTTTCAAATAATTTATAGACATATAAATTAATTTAACCTTAAATATATATTGTGTCTTCAGAAATAAGTAGCATGTAGTCTCCGAGAAAATATAGGGTAACTTTGTAAATCACTAGGGAAAAGCATAATTTGATGTGGGGAATATATTTAGGTAGTTGTCATGCAAACAAACAAAGATCAAATATGTTGTTTTTTAAAGCTCTGCCAATTCTATAAAAAAGTAAAACCTAAACGCCACGGATGGAAAAGGAAGAGCACCGAGACACCGAAGGAAGAGAAAACCAAAATCTAAGTACACGAATGTGATAAGAAGCTGAAAAGGCATGGCGTCAAGGGACCCAAGAAGAACCGCTCTGCAACATACGTTGCAGCAACTTCGGGATGTCACAAACTCCACTGCGGTAATTCGTTATCTATACACAGTTCTATTATCTCTAAATACGCATTTTCACACATTAATTTTCATTTTCTCTCTCTCTCTCTCTTCATTTCATCTCTTATTTTATACACATTTTTTATTCTTATTTTCTCTTAATCGTAGAAATAATTATAAAGAGTATATATACATGTATTATGATGCATACGGACTTTGGCTTAAAGTTCAATAAACAGATGAAGCAATTCTAATTAGTAAAATTACAGGCAAATCCAGTTGTATTGTTCCTGTAATGCCGTTTCAAAATCTTCAAAATTAAAACCATACATAACAGTTTAATCAGGATCTAAACCATGAGTTTTTGAATCAAATATGTTCAATACATGACATAATTAATCATTTCTTTGATAAATAATTTGGGTTTAGCAGTTGAACAAAGCCTCAATTATTGTGGATGCCTCCAAATACATAGAGGAGTTGAAGCAGAAAATAGAGGGACTGAACTCAGAGCTTGGAATTACTGAATCACCACTCACTCAAATTGACGAACTACCTATGGTGCTTTAATTTGTCGTCGATGTTGTTTTTTTCTTTTCTTAATTAAATTATTGTAGAACATCTGCAGTTCATTATTTCCAGTTTTCACACCTTATAAACAATGTTTTGCAGGTAACAGTGAAAACCCTAAAAAAAGGTTTCCTCATTAACGTGCTTTTAGAAAAGAATTGCCCTGGTATGCTCGTCTCTATACTCGAAGTCTTTGAAGAACTTGGCCTTGATGTGCTTGATGCTAGGGTTTCTTGTGAAGACAGTTTCCAGCTAGAAGCTGTGGGAAGAGAAGTAAGACATAAATATATATCATTTAATTTCCACCATTACTCTTTATATAATAAAAAATTGCCTTTCAATTATTCTCCTCAACTTTTCCTTTTAAATAATATTAAGTGTCTAAAATTAACCATTTCACAACTCTTTCCTTATGAGACTTTTTTACTTTATATCCTCTCATACCAACAATCCAAGAATATACATACATAGAAATTAGATCACACTTGAAATTTTTTTATGAGAAACCCTTTTATGTCTTTGAGGCTGATCGAGTAACATAATTACTGTTGGATATGTGTATGAATTCGCACAGCTTTTGAATATAAAAAAAAACATTTAATTATATGCTATGTTCCTAGAATGACTTTGATATGAACGACATATTTGAAAAGCGCAATTTCAAATAATTAGTACATTTTTAATTTCTTTTAAGTAAAATTTTTAATTTAAACATTGTGTATGGAAATATTTTCTTATTTGGAGAATTATCCGCCATATTTTACAGTTTTACCGACTAAAACATGATCGTTTATTATAAAGTATATATTAGGTTTAGATAAAAAAAAATAAAAATCCAATGTAGAGATATTATAATGGGTAGATCCTTTATTTAGGTTCGTTTAACATTTTCTTTTTCAATTGTATGGGTTATGAACGTGGCAATGGCAACCAAGCGAAGAACTGCATTATTACTTATATCTTCTGGTTAAAAGGGGCCGGTTATATTAATTCTTCATAAATAAAATATGATGCAACCTATAAAACTCTCACATGATTATAAACTTTCAATCAAAACTTAGACAAAAACTTATTATGCAGAGTGAGAAGAACGACAGTGTCGACGAGCAAGTGGTGAAGCAAGCAGTGTTGCGAGCAATCAAGAACACGGACTAATTATAGGAAGCACACGGATAAGCAAAAAATCCAGCACCCCTTTTGTCTGTTTATAAGAGCTTAAAATTTGCATATTCAAGTGAAAGAATGTGATTGCATATTCTGCCAAAACCTCATGAGGTACCTCCTCAATGACCCTAGCATATTGATATGGCTTATCAACATCTTCTTGGATGGTGGGAAATGAATGAATGGACATGCATCGTCCAAGTTGATATATAAATATAGTGCCATTTTGGCTTTCAGTGGGCTGGGAAGACAATAGATCCAAAACATGGCCTATTGGCAGAAGAAATACATGTTAGTATATATTTAATTAGTATAAGCAAGCGAACTACTTATCAGGATTAAGAATCTTGTTTGTGAAATTTTATATATTCTGTTAATTCCAATTATTTGAAAACTAGTTTTTCTAAGATGCAGTTAATTTATACCTATTTTATCAATATATATTATTATTAGAATAGTAATTAAAGATTTTATAAATAAGTTTGTCTATTGAAAAGCGTTATATTTAAGGAGTATTTGAATAAGTAGCTTGATTAAATACGATTTTTTTATTATATTAGAGTTTATAACAAATTTTAATTATGAAGTTTATGACATATATCTTATGTTGATCAGATATATTAAGAAATCAATTCAACTAAATTAAAAGAAGCTTATAATAATTATATACTATTTTTATAATTCTTTTAAATACTCCTTTAATATAATCAGGATATATTTACAGTAATCTTTAATAAAAAAATTACTAATCTTATATATATATAAACAAAAGAATACTATTAATATAAAGGATTCTCTTGTCATGTCCATGTAAAAGAAATAAAACGTAGTACATCCTTTCAGGATAGCATCCTTGTGGTTAATATTCAAAGCGTATATGAATATTTTAGTTAGCCATAACTAATTGATTTTGAACCTTAAAATTAGAGAATTAAAATCATAAGAATATTAAAAGAAATATTTACATATTGTTGTATGAAAAATATGCAGGTCAAGATTGATTAGCGGGCCGGCCTAATGTTGAAAAAATAATAAAATGTGATGGTTACTATATGAATTAATTGAAATGCATTAATAGTTTATTAATTTTTCACATTGTCATTTAATTATAAAATACAATATAAGCGAGATTTTGTAACACTATAAAAACATGTTAAAAGTATATTTACTGTATTTTCTAGTTAGTTGATAATATATAAATTTTTATTCTGATAATGTATTAAAAGTAAACTATAAATAAAATTAGCTTGTTAAAAATAAAAATTATTATTTTCTAAAGCAATGCTTCTTTCTTATTATGACCATTTGTTCTTATTAATTGCATATAGGTTCTTATGTTATAGATTTAAATTCTTAATTATAAATAAAAGAACATCTCTAATTGTGTATTCTTTTTATTTGTAATACTAGGCATCACCCTCTTTTGTATTAATTTTTAATTTTATTTTAAAATAAAATACCTTCACACAGTTGCAAACTAGCTAAAAGTATTGTTTGATTCAGCAAAAAAAAAAAAAAAAAAAGGGTATTATTTGATCCCCGAAAAGCTGAAGCTGCAATCAGTGATTTAATCCATCATAGAACAGTGTAAAAGAAAAGTTATATATAAGAAAACAAATATAGAAACTATTTGTGATATATATAATTATATTTAGACTAGTGGGAGTGTGAGTTGAGGTGTCAAATTGACGAATGATGAATATTTCCGTATCAATCGAAAATATACAAATATTTTATTACAAAGGCCGAAGATTTTGACTCTGGCCGGCTCAATAATATTTATGAGCTACTCTCTTCACAAGTAATTGAATTATATTGAGTGCTTCTTACTTAAGGGAAATAATCGAATGCTGTTAACTAACATCATACTAAATTAAAGAAAAGTAAACTAATAGTACATATTTCAATTACTGTGAAGTTATTTTATTTTAATTAATAATTTTTAAGTTGAATTTTTAAATATACAGTTACATTAAATATTAAATAATTTAATAAGATAAAGAATTAAAATTTTAAGTAATTTGATTCTCAAACTTTTACCAAAATCAATGTATATATTAAGACTAAAAAAAATACACTTTTAAAAATATTTAGAGATCATCTGATTTTATATCTCAATTATTTTTTCGTTGAATGTAGGTCAGCTACACTCCAAAATATGATTATATTATCAGCCAAAACTTTCGAAACTATCGTTAATGTTTGTTACTTGTGTTACTATATATTCCCTCACACATACATATCTGATAAAATATAAATATATATATAAAAAGATCAAATATGTTTAGTCATATATAAATACTTTTTGTAATTATTATTGATGATGGACTTGGAAATGATAACAAATACGATACGTAATGAGTACTTGTAAAAAAATTTATTTGCAATGAATATAGGAATTATTCGCTTAACCATGAATATGAGTAAATATTCACAATCTTAAAATTATATGATATGGGTATAGTACTCATATCCGGTCATAATTTTTTTTTACATTAATTTTTGAACTTAATATTTTTAGCATATAAAGTCTTGTTTTATGTGATAGTAAAAGGCAAATAATACAAATATGCTTGTGCCATTTTTAATTAAAAAACTTTAATTTTGCAATTTTTTTATGTTGTAGCTCCTTTTGTGACGTAATTAACTTGAAATTAAATAAAGAAACTCTATTGTAAATTTTAATATGTTACTTTTAATTTTAAATAAAATTATAATTTATAATATTTGACCTTAATAAACCATTTTTATGCCCACGTAAGAGGGTAAACAAATATTTTATAATGGAAACCTAATTCAAATTTATTTAATTTTACCTCTGATATTTTATATAACCAAGATGGTACACGCAGCTCCATATGTTTAATTAACGTAAGATATTTTAGGACAGTAGTCGAATAGATTCTAATATAATATTAGATAATTAAATTTAATTTACTTTAAAAATTAACTCATAAAAAAACATTTATTTTGGGTCTCAGTGCATTTGGTTTGATGTTACATGGGCTACTTATTTGAATAAAAGGAAATGTTAGGAACATTTTTTACTATTTTTTACATATATTTTTTTAAATTTATTAAAAACTATAAAAATTTACCTGGATGTCTGACTTTTTTATTTTTAAATTTTTTTTATATTTTTATGATTTTTATTAAATTTTAATAATAATAATTAAAAATATATTAGAAGACATGTTAATAGCATTCATGTGGCGGCGATTCATTTGCATACTGCTACACGGATTGATTGTCCAATCCAGCTACTTGCTTTTTTTAGAACTAGCAGTAATTCATAGTATATAATTCGGTGCTGACACGTGTGTGGTTCATGGTTTCGCTTTATATTTTCCACTTATTTTCCTTTGTCAACAATCTTTAATTTGGCTATAAAAAAATACCCTTAACATAATTGATAGCATTGAGGAATTTCAGTTAATTAAAAAATTTTAGTTTTGTGCCAATAATTTATCACTAGCAATAATTTTGAATTAGCATGTATTATTTCTCTAGTTTGCTTATTACAATTTCATTCTCTTTATTGAAAAAAATTAAGTAGCATGCATGGTATTACTTTCTTTAAGCCAAAGGATTATGTTAGAGTAAAATAACATGACTTGGAAACATCGTGCCCAATCAAAAACTAGCATGGAAATTCTATAATGCGTCGTGATTGTTGCATGCAACAATCAGCTAAGATACATTTAATATCACACAAATTTAAAGACTATAAAGTTTTTGAAACATAATAATAATAATAATAATACAAGAATAGGCTCGCGTATAAGTGGAGCCGTTGTCACACGCAATCACTCTCTTTTATTCTTATAAATAATAGTTACAGTGCTGCCTTAGTATCATCACTCCTTCAGAACCTGATGCTGCAACATTACAGTAACCAACACATGAAGTTAGATATTATTACCAATATTCAAACCAAACAATTAGGTAAAAATGGAATAACTCACACTCTAGTTTGGGTTTATCCAAATCGATCAACTAGGTAACCAAACACAGGTACAATAGCAATCATTTTTCACCGAATATATGATAAATAATATAACAAAATAGGTAAACATGCATTATCAAAAAGTATCATTAGAATAATGCGACTCCATCGATCGGTACTAAATATTTATATAATGTATACCTATAGTTATTCTGTCACGTCTGAAGAAAAATAGTAAGAACAATTTGAATTAAAAAATGCTAATTGGTAATAAATTGTTTTCACCATATATATGAGAGTGAAATTTCTTTCTTCTCCATCAACTTTGCTCTTTTAAATAATTTCTTTCCCTCTTCATCCACATACACAAGTCCACTTATGAAAGTCATTCGTACCAAAATAACATTGCCATTTCAATCACCTAAAAATGTTGTAGATTTTTTAAAAAAATAAAAAATTATACATAGTATGATCGTATGATTAAGATTTATTCTATATAAGAGTTAGAGAGTAAGGAAAACGTACTCATCACAATTGGTAGAAGGACTGATGGCATAAGGGATGTTGACATGGCATTGAGCTGGGAGTGCCTGAGCGTAATTAGCATTGACGCCAAAGTTATTAACATTACTCTTAAGACAGTTGCACACGGTTTGGCGGTCAGAGGTTGTGGCGGCGTTGGCCTGAAGGGTTCTCACACCGTCACAGCACTCTTGCGAAGGGTTTCCACCTTGCGTCAAGTAAGATAGGCATGGCATTAAAGTCTGAACTACATCACTACACGTCATAGCTTCCACCATCATTATTGGTGCACCCACCACTGCCATGCACATAACAACCATGCATGCCATTTTGAGGACTCTAGCCATTGCAATTCTCAAAATTCAGAGAGAAATTTGGTACAATATATATGTAATGTGTGTGTTGCTTTGTTTGCTGCTTCTTGGTGAGTTCATGTGCTGAAGGGGTGTGTTTATATAGGGTGCTAGAGGGATTAGGGTAATGAATGGGAGCGTGTAATGATCTTATGAAGATTCATGGGGTTTTATGTTGGTGGTTGTGCTTTTTTCAATGCTCGTGTGTTTCTGTTATGTCTCGTTGTCTCATTGTTAACACTTGGCTGGATTTGTGTGGTGTGGTTGGATCAAATATTAACACCGAAATGATGGTTGTACTCCTTAGATCGTATTTAGAATTTATTTTTAACATTAATAATATTAAATAATATATTTTATACAATATTACGCATGTTAAAAAAATTATTATTTTATAAGTATGCAGTCTAATTAAATATTTATTTAATAAATTTTTATTAATTTTAAAGCGTGGCTTATTTACTTGTCTCGTGAATGCATAGTGCACCAGGGAAAATGGATGGAAGATGGATCCAACGACAAATTAATGTTGAGTGTAATAGCATTAAAGAAGCGTGGCACCGCACGTGTGACCGAAAAAGAAAGGCAAAATGTTGATCGGCATCATGAGGATGTATTGTATACTTTTGTTAAAGAATCGAAAGCAAGGTTGTGCTTTGTTATATCATTTATTGATTTTATGCAATTTGATGTCATTTTTTTAAAAATAATTATTTTTATTTTTTAATCAATTCGACCCAACAAGAAAATATCATGCATCGGACTAAATATTTCTTGGTATTCTATTTTAATGAACAGATATTTTAATCTGTATTTAAAGATACAAAGTTAGTAGTATTAGGGATTTGAAATTAACCTTTACTTTCACCGAAAAAAGAAATTAACCTTTAGTGATGCTAAAATTCACAAATACATAGAAATAAATTTGAAATTAAGTTCTTCATTAAGATTTTTGTTATTTTTAATTTAAATATTTTGTATAATTTTTATAAATTAATAAAATGTCGTGCTTTTATTAACTTTTTTATTAATTATTTGATAAAATTTTATAATAAAAATTTATTTTCAATATTTGAAAAATTATAAGATTAAATGTGAAAAATTAAAATTGGCAAAATCTCACATTTAAAATTTAAAGGAGCTAAATGTGAGTAATTAAAAAAAATAAAATTATATATTTAAAAATAAAAAATAAATATAAAAAATTAAAATTTAAAAATGAAAATATATATAAATTAAAAGTGCAACTAATTCTTTTTTTTCTTATAAATAAAAATTACGTATTTGTGTCAAACTTTTACATAGCCAGTATTTTAGTTATACTAATTTTTAATTTTTTTTAATAATGATATCTTCACTAAGTTATAAAGTACATGAATTGTTGATTTTGATGGTTAGTATTTAATCTATAAAAATTATGAATTTAATTACAACATTAAAATGAAAAGATTAGTCAACTAATCAATACGATAAAAAGAAAACGTGTTTTTTTTATGAGCATATTATTTGAATCATTTATTGATTATAAGTAGGATAATAATTAATGTTTTATTTTAGATAAAAATTTTAATAAATATTTATAAATGTAAAAATTATAATAATTAAATTTTTATAAATTAGAATTAATTTATATTTTTTAAAAATATCTTATTTAACTTTTATAAAATTTGAGATGAATAATTTTAATTTTGTTTATAAAATATTTTTGTTAAATTTATCTAAATTAAAACAAGTCTTAAAAGGAGGTGGAAAGAATTAGAGTATGTTTGATTTCTCTTTTAAAAAGATTTTTTATTTTTTAAATATAGTATAAATTTATATTATATTTAGAAAAAAAACAAAAAACTCTTTTTAAAAGAGAAATCAAACATACCCTAAACATCTCACAGTTTTAGTAGAGTTTGATCAAAATCACAGAGTCATTATCTAAAGTGTTAATCGAAAGGGTCAACATGATATATTATGTTATTGATATATCTCATGACAAAGCTTCCATGAATTTCGAATTCGTAGGAGATCCTGCACCAAATAATTTCGGTTCATAGTTGTTAGATGTTACATGTCAAACATGATTATTTATAGAAGACTGAGGTTAGCTTAAGTGTCAGAATCTAAGCAGAGGTATACATCAAGTGCCGTGTCCCATGAATTGCAAGGGCATGTGGTTGTTATTTAGTTTTGGATTCAAACTTGAATAAATTAGTATTTCTTATTAATTTGTGGAAGGCTTTATTTATTAGATAATTAATTCTTAAAAGTGTAACTATTTTTAATTTTATTTTTTATAAAAATTATTTAATTTTAACATCTATATTTAACAAAAAAAAATATGTGATTTTAATATATAAAAATTATATAGTTTTTATATATTTTTACAAATTAAAATTGAATTTTTTATAGATAATAAAACTAAAAATAGTAACATTTTTTAGAACTAATTGTTTAACTAGGCCTTTATTTAAATATTGTCATTAGTTTAAATTACCTGTTAGACATACACCTACTTTATACACAAGCACAATTGAGTAAAGTAATCAAGTATTTCACCGTTGAAGGTTCTACAATAACTTCTCTTTTCTTTTACTTTTCTTCATTAATTGATAAATTATTGGAGTAGCCTTCTACTATTTTAATTTTAGTTTCTAGATTTATCACCAATGGTTGATCTACCTAATCGATTGAATTAATCACCAAATTGTTTTTCAAAGTTTATTTCTCCATGCATATTACTCTGCAATTCAAAAACTTCCACAAATCAACAAATTGTTCAAGTTGCATAAGGGAATATAGAAAAGGCTAAATCAATACAAGGTTAGGAACTAATTTGGACTCTAATTTCAAAGTTTTCCAAAATTAAATAAGTACACATAAAAATCAATTTAGTTCCTAAATTCCAGAGGCTATGATAAAACAAATTATGCAAATTATTCAAACTCTCAAAGAGATAACAATGAGAGAAGTTTGAATGATGATTCCATACATATGGTTGCTAACACTTATTTTCAAATGGCATTTACCAATCCTCTATTTATTATAATGGCCGACATTACATGAAAAGCTCTAAACTTTCTGACATAGGATCTTGGATCAACAAAAGGAAACAATGGATCTTTAATATTTCTAACTTGTCAAGGGAGACAATTTCTTCAAATGTAATAATAATATTAATTAGGAAAACAGAATATCCTAATTCTATGTCTCTTTTCTTACCTCACAATTATGATGACCTTCTTCCTATTGGGCCGAAGCATCATTTTCTAACTTGGGTTTAGGCTGAAGAATTAGAACAGTCCTTAATTTCCAGCGATTCCTATGAAAGCCCATAACCCATCATTACATTACAAGAGGTAAAACCTCTCGTGATGAAAATTTTGCTCCCTATGTTGGATAACCTAATTATGTAACAGGATTCTCAATAACAAGACACAAGATTATAACATGTTTATTTCTTACTTGTCATAAAGATCAAGTAAGAAATCGCGTACCAGTTACGAGGAATTGATCTATGTTGAAGAGAATGAAAAAACTGAAAAACTGAAAGAGTGTGTATTACTTGATGGACAACAGTTACTCTATTTTTCATGGAGACCAGGGGTCTCTCTTTTCACATAAAATAAATTGCCTAACTCATTTCAGGATACAAAAAGTCTAATTAAATATTAATCAATGGATAATTTACTGTAATTAAATTAATAATTAATATATTTAAAATGATTGATTAATGCTAGTTAGAAATAAAAATAGGTCAAATTATTTTACAGAAATATATTATCTAACCTTTTTAAAGTTTAACTTGACTTAGTTTATTTAAGCAATATGTTTAATTAATTAAATAAGTTAAGTTTAAACTTAAAGTTTATTAAATATGGTAGAATGCTATATGTAAGACTCATAAAATTTATAATAATATATTATATTACATAATTTAAAATTTAAAATAAATTAAATTTTAAATTAAAAATTTTAATTTTTTTAGTGTTAAAGAGTATTAATATTATATATCCTCTAAAAGAGAGTATATTGCTTTCTAGAGTTTTTTTGCTATTGCTACTTAATCTGTCTTATATGTATAATATTAATTTTTATTTTTGTTTGTTTAATGTTTAATTATTTATTTATTTAAATAAAATATATTTTAAAAGTGATAAATAAAAATATGTAATTTAATTATAAATATTTGAAATACTGAATAATTTTTTATGACTTATTTATATATAAGTCATATAGTTTTTACAGAAATATACTTTTTTATAGTTTGATAATTTATTTATAAAAATTTTAATGGCTTATTAAAAGTCTCAATACAAAATAAATCAATAAAAGTGCTAATAAATTAAATTAAATTAAATTTAAACATTAAAATTATTAAATAAGTCAGCTGTGCATATTATTATATGCTGTAATTTTATGAAGAGTATCCCTTTATTTTCTGGAAAGCACATTTCTTATTTACTATTTGATAAATAATAATTCAATTTTTTTTAAAAAAATATGTATTTTTATTTCCCCTTCGTGTATAGTGTGACATCAAAAGAAAAATTTTGTGTACAATGGTAATGAATTTTAGCAATTCAGAAAATATTCCTTTTACTCCTTCCAAATGCTTAATTTCTATGATAGAAATATAATTTGTTTTCAATGAGAAAAAATGAAAGAAATTTGTTTATTATTCTAGGAAGTTACCAAACTAGTGATATGTTTTTGACAATGGAGTCAAATAAGTAAGTTAAGGGAAGAATGAGCACGACCCTTTTTTATTGTACAATTGATAAAGTCAGAAACAACCACAGATCAAACAAAGAGTTCTGCATCGCAACTTGTATTATTAAATTCAGTCAGATAATTGAGTCGATAAATATTTTGTTAATGGATATAATTAGTTCAAAGGAACATTACAATTATCGTATAATGCTTATATTTTCTTTTGTCGGTGACGAGAAAGAAAAGCAGCTTATGTTATTTGGGTTAGTTATTAAATCATAAGTTTAAATTTTATCCACATATTTAGGGTGATTCACGATTGAATTAGCAAGTTGAACCAAGGTGTATGATTAGGTATACCGTAATAAAAATTACTTTTTTAAAGAC